AGAATGGGGTGGTACCAAATTTATAGCAGAGCTTTGATTTGCACTGCTTAGTCAGGCTTCAACACCACTGGCTTACGCAGCCATCCTAAACTGTAATGAAGCCTTTAAATTCCTACTGAAGCCCAACTTTGCTCAACTACATCACTGAATCATTGCTTCCTCAACTTATTTTTTTATTGACCTGTCTCCAATTTTTTGAACAGCTTTTTACAAAACTATGGCCAGCATTAATCAACAGTCACCCACTCCCCCCACTGCAGGGATGCCATACTCTCTTCCTGCAGAATCCCTTTCTGAGTGGGAGGAAAATGCTGTACATCAGCCTCAGGGAAAAGACCATGCTCTACATCTTAATTCAGAAACCATGGTGACTCTCAGTCACTTTTCCCTGTGGCTTGCCTAGTAAAGTTATAGCTGCTAAATGAGGGAAGTGATTACATTTAAACTGAGAACACCCACAATTAAAGCTATTCCAAGAACCGCAGCTTCAAAACGTAGGTATGCAGCACATAAACATGCTTACAAAGCAGTAAATTAGTCAGCAATATTAGGTGAGGAGGCATTATGACAACTGCTGATTTGGTTGCTGTAACAGAAAGGAAAGGACCAACACACAAGGAGAGAATAAGGGATACATTCTCCTTCTCCCTGATGCTGTTGTGCTCTCGTGTGCTATTAAACAGCTGCTCCACTCAAAACCAGAGGAGGCAGCATTTCCAGTGGTACAGGTCAAGGTCTACGCATCACTTGTGAAAACTCTGCAGAGCCTGCAGGACTGAAAACACTAGTCAATAACTTTAGACCACTGATTCCCAAGCAGGGGGATGCGACGGTCGGGGCTGCCTTCAGATCCTTTCAAGGCAGCTGCCAAGTGCCACGCAGTGTTAGCACTGCTAGGTGTGCAAACTGAGATACAAGACACAAGATAAATCCAGAGATTTTAAACTGGTTTTGACACTCTGGATTCCTTTCTGACCTGTCATGGGCTCTTCTTTGCAACAGAATTATTTATTTATTTATTTATTTTACTATAGAAAAATAAGAGTGAAAACTAGGAGCTGACATTGTCCAAGGCCTTGAGTTTAATGAGGGGGCCTCAAATCTAGAACAGTTGAGGACTACTGCACTAGAATAATGATTTCCAGTGTGGTGCTTGCAATGGACCGTCCAACCTCCTAGATTCCTGGTTCATGACACACCACACTTACACATGAGTCACCATTATCACTGCTAATCAGTGCTGGCCTTTATTAAAAGGTGGCTTGTCTTATAACTTGTTTTTGTGACCCATATCACCAACAAACACCTAACAAAAGGAAGGTGCCACCCTCATTTTAAGACATAGCAAAGTTTGGTACAGAGGGATTAGGAGCTGGCTTTGCAAATGTGGCCCCTGTAAGGGGGTAACTGAGCTATGCAGGCAGCTCCCAACAAATGCCAAGCCATCTGCCTCTTACTACCATATTGCACCTGCCAGGCCACACTCTGTTAATAACATTTCAGAAAGAAATAATATTTTAAAGATAAATATTAAAAATTAAAAATATTAAAATTTAATTAAAAATTAAGCAACATAAAAACAAAACAAAACGTTTTGCCTCCCAATTAATACTTTGACCCCAGGATCCTGCATACAGCATGCAGGAGGCCCAAGTTGTTTTTCTAGAAGGAGGTTGTTCAAAATACACAGAGGCCTCAAGCTATTTGCCAGAGTTGGGGGAAAAAATCACATTGCTGGTTCTGCCATTTCCAAATGGGGTTACAGTTCTCTTTCTACTCTCTCCATGATCAGCACTGCAAATATATTTAGCTGCTTTAAGACTGTGAAAATCCTCATTTAAATACCATACGCAAGCAACATGCTAGCTATCCTGTTGACCTAAAACCTGGGCTCGAGGTGGGAATTTCAGTCCATTCAGATCAATTATAGGCTGTACTAGAGCTTCCCCAGGAGGAGGAAGGGATGAACAACTATAGAAGAAAACAAATCCCACCCCAGGAGAGGTAAAAGCTTATGGCATCAAACAAGAATCCAGATTTATTTCACTGGGAGCTGCAAACTCCAAGTTTGAAGAGATTAGTAATGGAGACACTGATGAGGGCAAGGTAGTGTCACATACTGTGCCAGCAAATTCAGGGAGCCTCATTCTCTACGTTCTGTCTGAAGGATTAGATGTTAATGCTTGGAGTCAGCAGTAGAAATACAGCTGGTCCTGATTCACACTCTTCCCAAGGGACAACTGCTTAAGGACTGTATTGACAAGACCAACTTGAGAGAACCCAGCAACTCTGCACTTGAATGAGAGAAATTGGGAAGTTGCACTTGCTGCAGCTGAGATCCTGTAGCTCTGCATACAACCCAGACCAATTTTGATGTCAGATAAGACACAAGAGCCAGGAGATGCATCTACAAGCCAGAGAATTACAGGGAGAGCGCCATCTTAAACTGACACAACAGGTCAATTTTCACTGCATCTGCCTTTACTGGCCTGTTCATTGTTATGATCTGGTGAACAGCTGTTCTTAGGCTATGAAAAAATTTGAGCTTAGCCAACTGAAGTATGTCAAGTAAACGTTCACAGCTGTTCTGGGCAGGGGGACAAGCAGAGTCTCCTGTTAAGTCCATTCAGGATCTGACAGACAAAATATTGGTCCAGTCCCATTAGGAACCTGGGCATTCTTGCTCTGTTGGAGAGCTAGCATTATCATTAAAAGGAAAGCGTTCTTCCTGACTGAGGCCCATCAGTCACTTGCACCAAGGCTTTCTACTTGCAAAATCTCACAGATACAGCAGGCCTGGGCCCTGTATGTCAGAGTCTGCTGCCATCAGTTGGTGCTGATAAGTAGACATGATAAAAATCTCACAGAAGCCTTCTTATCCCAGCTACCTCACTTATGAGAGCTTGCTGTGATAAAACTCTCCTCCCATTCTCCAAATGCGACTCCACCTTTCTGAAAAGGAGTCAGCCATGGGTGACTGACTGGCACCTCCTGAGACTGGGGCAGCGGGGCCGGTGAGCACCCGCAGAAGTTGGCAGCGGCAGGAACGGGGCTGCTGAGCACCCACAGAAGCTGCCGGCAGTGTTGGCAGCAGGGATTGCCCTGCCAGGGGGGACACCTGCTCCCCCATGCCCCGCCTACTAGTTGCCTATGGAGTCAGCTGTCAATGCACACTGCATTTTCTTCCTTCTACAAGACACTCAGCCTCTGCAGAGATGCACTGGGGTAAACAGAATCTCCCAGTACCCAAAGCAGGCTCTATTCTCCCATTCTGGATTCAGTGCAAGAGAATGTGCCCCTTGCCATGTCCATGTGGAGTCCTGGACACAGCTGTATCAACTATAGTCACACTTGAATGTAAGGCTTTTCTGAAAAATTCACAGTCCCCAGAATGTGAATAATGACTTTGCAAGAAGTGAGAAGGCGGGGCTATCTGAGCTATGCAAGATGGGCAGCAGGCATCAAATCTCAGGAAATATACCTCTGGGGGGCTGGGATCAGCAAGTCCTGCTAGGCCATTTGCTTTGGTTTCCTGCCAAAGGATTCATAAGAGGTACATAAAAGAATGTGCAATGACTTTAAATATGAATTTCAAGTATTGTACAGCCAATATCTACATTCACTGAAGCTTCCATCCCACGCTGCGAGGCTTCACTCTAAGGCTCAGCAAGGAATGCGAGTTGATCTAATTTTATCCTCTTGGAAACTTCTACCAGCACAAAAGTATGAGCTACAACCAGTGCAGTTTCTGAATTACTTCCAGCTTGGACCAAGCCAAAAGATACTAAATGAGCAGGGACATTACAAGCTTTAAAGCCTGAATGGTCTGTACTTAGTGTTAGTCACTGAGGCCTTATGGGAACATCCCCCTAGAAAATCACCACATCTCAGCTAAAAAAGTATGAGTACAGAAAGCCATGCTATAGGTCAATAACAACACTATTCATATCAACAGACATGACTGGCAATGGAATAGAGCACCCTTCACCTGTATGATGGTAACCAAGAATGGCTACCACAAAACAGTGGCTTCTTGACCAAGGTGACATAAGGTGATGGCTTCACACCATTCCCCTTGTTTGCATGCCGAGAATCCAGAGAGTGACTGTGTAGCAAAATGGATCTCCTCTTTCCACCTTTTGTTTTCAATCTTGATCAGGTCCTGAGGCATATTGAGGGGCTACATGTTAGAGGGCTGAACCTGTCTTGGGAACACAGCTTCATTATCAAAGACTGTCAGCATTCCCCTTTTGCAAGCACTGAGAAGGCACCACAGGAAATTAAATACCAAGCTAACTTTTGTCCAAGATATATGACTTAGAAACTTGTGCACAATTGAGAGGTGACATGAAAGACCCAAGTGATGCAATGGAGGGCAATGGTTCCAGGCTGACCCAGCTAGAGTAACCAGGCCAAGCACGGGAGCCAAAAGCCATTAATCATTGTAATTAGCATGTACAAGATATGTGAGAACTACTTAAACAGAGGCATGTTGAAAGAGGTGACTATTGCATTTTGAAGGGAGGCAGACAGTTAATCTCCATGCTGTAACTGCTATATTTTCTTCTGCTGTTGATTTAACATAGCAGGGAACCGCAAGACTCGTATCTATTGTGAAATACCCAAATACAAGTCAGAATGTACAGCAGCAGCTCTAGGTCAGAGTTTCATTGTTACTTAGTTTTCATTCAAACCTCAGAGCAGTAGTTTGCATCCAATGCACATAACAACTCTGGTGATCCTATGGTAGTTTTAGAATAAGGAGACAACACTTACGTGACTTAAAAAGAGTTGGGTACATTAGCCAGCCCTCTTCCCACAGGCAGGACCCCCTTCATACACCTATACAAAACACCTGGCTTTAGGGATCACCCAATTTACAGAACAGGACCCCTTTCCAAAACTTATGGTCATGATGTTAAAAGAACTACAGGGGACACTACGGTAGCAATGCAAGGCATCTTCTTCAGTTGAAGTCCACCAAAGAACATAAAACAAATCCTGGGAATTCAGGACCAATTCTGCAAACCACTAAACACCTTTATTTACTGGTTTGTTGTAGCATGCTACAGGTGCCGGTTGCTTTACAGACACTCAAGAACAGAGTCCCAGCATGAGGAGCTTGCAGTCATGTGATGGACAGCCAGCCAAGTAGAGAAACAAGAGAATAAAAGGAGTTTCTATACAGACATCAAACAAGACTAACTGCTGGGGAGAGTCAAGAGCACTTGCTCTCTTAGCATTCAAACAGTACCTTGCACATTTGGTCCTAATTGACATTTTTTTAATGACTTGTCCGTCTTCCTTGGGGTCCAAGTTGGCATAAGATGAAGTATTTTAAATATGCAAAGAAAGATGGTCCATAAAACCCAGTTATGGAACCCCTCTTTGAACTCAGTGTTTTATTGCTTGTGATTATTGCTTAGTTACAGTTTGACACAATGTTGCTTTGGGATAGATTGGGACCTACTACATAATTTAAAATACCACATAGTATCTTACAGCTTGTACAACTGGCACTTAGTAAGGAAGTACAAAGATTTGTCATCTTAACCCAAGATTTAAAAAAAAAAAAAAAAAAAAAGATAAAATGTTTACATCCTTTATTGTTGGCAGGTGAATGTTCATTGTGGAAGGCCCCTCAACAAGTGACCAGAAAGTAAGTAACTACATCCCCTGCAAAAATATATAAAAGTTATATGAAAGCAGTATCTTATTCACACCAGCCCCTTGGGTTTGGTACTGTGCACTTTGCTAGTGAATGTAAAGCCCTTGTCTCTTTCAGAAAATTAGGGTGTTCATGTCTAGACTGGATACCTTGGGCGATAGAAGAGACAACACTGTACCACAGGTTGTCTTCCTGGCTCTTGCCAGTATGGTAATATGCGCTGTTTTCTCCATCCAAACTGACAGTCTCAAGATCTATCAGTTCCTAGTGATTAATAAATATTTGAGGTTGGTTAAAATTCAAGGAGAGTCATTTTGAGTAAAGAGAAGACGCATGCAATCAGGGCGTTGCAATTGCTCCACTGACCTGTTATCTATGTGAAGTGTGAAAGATCTCCATAAGGTAAGTGATTAAACAGTAAATGCAAAGGAAAAGTCCCTGAGGGCTGCCTCTCTCATCTCATCCCATTCACAACGGTAGACGGCTTAGAAAATAATCAATCCCAAAGCGGCTGCTCTTTAATCTCCAAGCACAGCTGCAGATCACACACTGAATTATTTCCGTACCTCTCCTTCAGGCACAACGTGCAGTTCAGAATGCTTGGGGGATTAGCTCTTTTAAAGCAGGACCAAGTGCTCCACCTTGTGTTAGTCCTGGAGATGACCAGAAAGGCTTCTATGCCTTTTCCAGGACCCTGGCAGGTTCCACTGAATACGTAACAGAGTCATCTGCTTGGGTACCCTTTGCTCCCATGGTGCCATATGACTGGTGCTCAGTCTGAGCTAGTGTTGTCCTTTCCGTAGGGCGATGAAGCAGGACCCGCGGGACGTACATCTAAAATGGTACATGTTTGGGATTTTATTACTCCATCACATAACTTTATAACACTGGAATACTTTGCTGCATTTCAAATCTCTTCCTATCATCATCCCTCTTTATCTTTGCATCTCTTCCTGCCTCACCTAAACACCTACATCTCTCTGAACCCTGGAAGAAATATTTTAGTGCAAAACTCAATTGTGTATGCATGTCAAACAGCATGCCGTTACGCACCAAGATTTCTACCCACATTCACATGGGCAGTACAGAAATGCTCAATATACAAATCGAAATGCTATGGCCATTTTTGGTGATGTAGCATTTACATTCTGCTACGCATGTCACAACTCCCTCTTTGTCCCCACGCAATGTGACGGGATAGACAGCATTCAAAGGCAGCCAATCACACAGTGCATGGTGTAAAAGTGCAGCGAATTGGAACACATCATAGATAGGTACCAAAAGAAGAATCTATTTAAAAATACAGTATTGCACCTATTGCTAAAACATCATTCTAGGCCAGTTGTCACCAACCAGTGGATCTCAATCCACCAGTAGATCTTGGAGCCTCTTGGAGTCGATCCAAGGCTGGGGTAGGGGGCCGAGTGCCCAGGAGCATGCATGTGCACACCTCAGCCCAGCAGGTCAGTCCATGGGGGAAGGAAGGGGCAGGGGCTAGATTGATGCCCCTGTGTTGAGGGACAATGCTGCAGAGGCAGGAACAGGGATAAGTTAAGTGGGGCCCCAGCTGGGTGGGACTTAGCTGCTGGGGAGGCATGCCCCCAAATAATTTTTTCTCCCTCTGCCTCCCCCCGGACTTACCTGCTGGATGGTGAGGGAGTGGGGGGGGAGGCAGTGCACAATAGATCTTGGGTTGCTTTTAAATGCCAAAAGGTGATATCCTATTTAAAAAGTTTGGAGACCACTGGTCTAGGTGGTGTTGCTACATCACCACATTCAAACACACTGGACAAGCGCATTGTTTTGATTACCTTGTTCTTAAGTGAGTTAATACCTGCACTCCCACACCATTCAGACTAGTAATGTCCTACCCAAGCCCTTTGCCTGGCAGGGTTAGGAATTCATTTTTCAAGGGAAGGTAAGAAAAACTACTATTTTTTTGTTAAGGACTTACAGAATGTCTTGGAGCTTCTCCTTTGTCAGTGTCACTTCCTCTTCCACCTGACACTTCTTCTATCTGAAGGCAGGAAAGGGGGTGGGAGGAAGGGAAATGTCAAATTGGTAAATCAGTGTCATAAAGAATGGTTTGGTAGAAGGTAGGGTGGGAAAAACTAACAGGCTAGTGTCTAAGATGCACCCTTCCCTAGCTTCTGCTGGATTTCAGGGTAACATGGTTAACTACCTCTGTGCACACAGAACTGGTTGTAAATCTACATGCAGTAGCAGGTTACTGGAGTGTATGTTAAGCACAAAACCCACTTATAAAGTTATAACAAACTCTATTATTGCAGATGCTTCTCTCAACCCTCCCCCTTGTACCTGCCTCCCACACAATCACCTTGGGCTTTGAACTCCTCTCCCCGCCACCCTGTGACATTTTCAATATGCAAAAGTACCTTTCTCAATCCAGAACCTCCTCAGCACATTACAGGAGTGAACCCTTGTGGGCTGACCCAGCTGCCACTGACATAAATGGAAGTTTTGCCTTTGGCTCCAGAGGGAACAGACTGTGCAGCGTGAAACTGGCCAGGGCTGCTGGCTGCTTATCGTCACTAAAATTCAGTACCATTTACCTTGTAATTCAGAGGGCTCAGATACTTGAAGCAACCAAAACAGGTGTAAGCTAAGCAGACAACAATGGTGATGCTGACAACTAGGAATGTGAACATAGTTGTGGGTGCTTTAAAACCTAAAATAAACAAACAAACAAACCAAACAAATCAGACAAGGCAAAAAAACCCTGACAAATAAAAGAATATATTAGAGTGGGGGGGGGGGGAACCCAGCCAAAGAACGCTTACTGCTCTTAACCACTGAGACCCTTCTCTGTGATCTCCCATAGCCCTCAGATACTCATATTTCTCCTATAGTATTGGACAAAGCTACCTTTGATGCTGGTTAATGAAACAGACCAGCTTACCGCAGCACAAAGACTTTTATCCTGGGATCCTACAGAGTACAAGCTCACTGTCCCACTCTAAGCACCCGTGGAGTATCCAATAACATTGCTCCATGACAACTAAGGCTAGTTGGAGTTAACTGATACTCAAGCTGCACATGTAAACAACTGTCCCAGACTGATGAGACAGGGGTCAAAACCCACGACAATCAGCTAGGAATTAAATTGGTTGTCTGCTTTTTGCCTTAGTTATCCACAACAATTGTTGGGCAGTTCTACAGATCACTCAAGAAGCTGTAGAAGTTGCGCACACAGCTATTGCCAGGTTAGGGACTGAGACTCCTAAATTTAAATCATGAATTAACCACAGATTCCACCCTTGGCATCTGCCCTGGACCAATTCATTATTTTCACTGATAACTTGGATGATGAAACAAAGTACAGCTAGAACATTTGTGAAAGGTGCCAAGCTGGGAGGGGCTGCAAGCCTGCCAGAGGACAGGACCTTCAGAAAGTCTGGATAAAAACCTGGAGTGGGCCAGAATCTACAAGATGAAAGCTAATAAAAATAAGTGCAAAGTGGTAAGCTGACGGAGGAGGAATCGAATGAACAAATACAAAATGGGGAATAAAAGGTGAGGCAACTGTCTGGCATAACAGGACTGGGTGGTTATGGTGAAGCACAAACTGAATAGGAGTCAACAATGCAGTGCTGCTGCAAAAAATAATCAAACTTCATTCCAGGCCGTATTTTTAAGTAGGAATGTCACATGCAAGACCTGGGAAGTACCGCTGGTCTAGACAAGGAAATTGGAACGTCATCACAACATTTTGCAGCTACGCTGAGGCGTTTGGTTTTAAAACGCATAGTCAATGAGCTGCATAAATCTATGACTGAACAGTTAAGTCTCAGAAATTAAAGCATTTTTACACTGTTGTACCCAAATTCTTTTTGCCCAAAGATCCAGTGGCAGCTCAAACCTCTCCTGACTCTCAGCCCTGTGTGGCCTCTGGCATGGTCAAAGCACTACAGATCATGCGTCAGACAAGCCTATGCTGGGCCCCCAGGGGATTCCTGGTAATCCAGCCTCCAAATGCCATTGCTAAATGCTAGGACAAACACGAGGTTTTATGTCCCGTGCAGTAGACACAGAACCAAAGATAACATCATAGAGACTTAATTTCCATTATACCAAGAGCTTTCAGTGTAACTGAATTATAGGGCCATGTGAATTAATGTGCAACTGCAAGCTTGGGAGGAAGGGTTTGTTTCTGGTTTTTGTTTTGTTTTAAACCAGATGCTCCAGCACCTCTGCTTTGACGTAAAAGCTGTGAATCCACTAACCCATATAGGTGTGAAGATGGCTCTCAAAATATGAAAGAGGGTGCAAAATGAGGCAATGCTGTAACACCTGCCCAAAATGCAGAGAGCACCTAGAAGCAGCTCAGAGTGTAAAGTACTCCCATTTCATCTCAGTGGGGAACTAACACTGAAGTCAGATGATAGTCTTCAACATTTTCTTTTTCACTGTAGGTATGTTAGATCAAACCAACCTGCTTATTTGCCATCAGTGGTGTAGTGATAGAGACTAGGGCAGAATACTGTGAGGTACCAAGGGATGGTAGGGACTGACAAGCTCTTTCCTTCCCACCCCAGGATCCACCCTTGTCTGAAGAGATGAAAGGGAAAAGAAAAAAAAAAAAAGTCCAGCATCTCTGTCCCAGCACCAAAAGCCCTAATCTGCATCACAGACAAGAAACTCAAACCATCGCGTACAAGAGAAACGTGGATGTTTTTCTTGCAGGGATCCTATGACCCTAGCTGACTTCCTGCCCCTGGGGCAGGGGGCTGGACTCGATGATCTCCAAGGCCCCTTCCAGCCCTAATGTTTATGAAATCTACGAAGCTCCAGCTGCCAAAACCCCAGCAGCACTGTCAAGCCCATAACCCATAGCATACTCAGCTGTCATAGGTTTAAGGGCACTGTAAAATAAATGGGATCCAAGATAAAAAAAATGTATCAAAGGAGCACAGAGCATGGGGGCTGAGGCTCAGCTATGGAACGTGCTACCCAGCAGCAAGGCCTTTAACAATGTCAGCAGAACGTGCTCCATGGAACTTGTGGCACTGACTGCGCTGCAATGGATGAGGTTGGTTACGTTGTTTTGTCTAACAGACATCTGCAAGACAGTGACAACAGCTTTGCTGTGCTCTGCTCTGAGGGAGTCAGACGACACAACTGAGTGCTTAGAACAGAGCTGGGCATGCTTAAACCAGAGGCCAGCTTGGTGGAATACAGTAGTTTTAACACTAGGACTGCATTTAAAAGCTTGTCTCTAAGTCTTTCCCAACCTACATAAATCCTTGCCTTTTTTTTTTTTTTTAAATATTTAGGAGTTCTGCAGTGTCATTCTACAGCCCAAATCAGCTGGCTCAGACTCCACACATTTAGATAAAATGCACGATGACCATTTTCTCAATAAAATGAAGTAATACTAAGATTTGTGTAGACAGCTTAACACTGACGTGTTACTTCACTCTGGGCATGTCTACACAATACGCTGTAATGCGCAGTAGCCTATTCTACATTAGTGTATCACAGCCAAAAAAACTGTGCTAAGTCCTCAGTAGAATTAGCCTACCATGCATGAAACTTCCCCAAAACAGCTAACCACCCCCCAAAAGCCCTAAAAAAACCCAACAACAACAAAAAACCTGTTTGCTTTTGCTACTGTGCATTAGCATGGGTTAATGTGTCTTTATGTAGTACCTCATAGTACAGGTACCAAATTGAATGTGCCGTAGCAAAGGTGCATTAATGAATGTGTGGACATGCCCTCTATCACTCGTCAGAAGACCTCCAACTACTTTGCACACAGTAAGCCTTGGGAAGCATTATTATTCCCATTTGACAAAATGCAAACTCAGACAGCTTCTCATTACTTTAGAGAACTTAGTGACAGGTTGCAGGTCCCTTTGCTTCATATGCAAGACCGAGTAACTCCATTCACTGAAAGACGCACCTTACCTAATCGCAAAAACGAGAAAAAAAAGAGCCAGAACAGACACAGGATTGGAGCCGCAAGGGCTTGATTCACAGCTGCAAAGTGGATCTTCTTCTCCAGCTTCGCAGGGAGAAATGCATAGTAAAGATTGTGGCGGTCAACCATGTGCTTCAGCAGTATATATATCAAGCCTGAAGGGGGGGACAAAAGCCAAAGGCAGATTAATAAAAGGCTTGTAAAACTGGAAGGGGAACCATGCAGATGTGATGCATCAAACTATTTCAAAGGATCAGATTTCAAATCAATGATGCTGACTCTCTTACCCTACGCAAGTCAAGATGCTCCCAATCGCAGAGCAGGGACAGATTAAAAAAGAGATGGGAAGTCTTTGTTATGCTTTTATTTAAGCAATAACCTTTGTTATTTGACCAATCTGAGGTTTATTTCACAAACTCTATGTAGGGAACAGGTTTATTTTTTCTGTTCATTTTATTTCCTGCACTAACAACATAATTGTGCAGATATGGATTTGTGTGGTTCCTATCAGCTTTCCACCTATTTGCCTGGGGCAGGAACTGGCAACCTACAGCTCATAGGCTAGATCTGGTCCTTAGATCCAGGATGCAGAACCGCAGCTTTGACAGTGGGGGCTCTGCCCACAGTGTACCTCAGTCAGGTGCCTAGGGCACGAGCAGAGGGGGCTCTCCCAATGCTACCCCAGGGAGAAGTGGTGGAGGCAACTAGGTTCTAAAGCCCACCAGCCTCAGAACTGAGCTGAGTCATTTAGGCCTGCCCACAGAAAACATTGCTGACTTCTGATATAGGGCATTAAAAATGAAGTAAAGACTACATGCTTCAAAGGAAGGACAAACTCATGTAAGTGAACTTGTTAGCAAAGAAACTACACTGAGTTATTCTTGTTGTTAACATATATATATGCTCTGCAGCTACAGTGAAAGAGCACAGGGTGGCATCTGGTGCAGAATCTGGCCCCAAAAAGAACATATTCCAACATTCATCATGAGACATATGCCTACAGCAGGTGATAGGTACCACTTATAATTAAAAACACTACATATAGTACCTCTCATTTTGACAATAGCAGATTAGCAATAAGTAGTAAAAACTAGACATCAGTTAATTATGATATTTAAAAAAATTGTGCAGCACTTTTCCTACTAAAAAGGCATCAATTGTAGAGTTTTAGTCAAAATCCAATTTGGGTAACTACATTATGCTTAACTCGCTCTGAAGCTTCAGATTAGGAAAGAAAGAATACTAGAGCAAACTGTTGTGCAGTACTGCTTACATCTGAAAAATTTGCTGTAAAAGTGGCAACATGTAAGTGGTTGCATAAATGATCCCTTTTATAAGTTTGTGAGGTTTTCTGAGAATCAAAGGGCATTTTTACACGTGCTCTGGGGTGGGGCAAGCATTTTAATTAGAGTGGCTCTCAGGAGCCGATCTAATTAAAAATTCCCACGTCTCGTGTATTCAGCATCCCATGTTTCAAAACAGTGGCAGGAGCGCATTAACCAATGCTCATTAAATGAGCTTTAAAGCGCCCTTGCTGCCATTTTGAAACACAGGGATGCTGGAGTGTCCTGATTAGAATGCTCCAGAAGACTCAATTAATCAGAACACATTGGAGCATGTGTATAGGTGCCCAAAGATGTTATATAAAGCAGAACAGAAAATGAGTGCTACTTGGTCAGGTATGTCAGAGACAGCAAAAGTCATGGGAGGAGTCAGCATCAGGGCTGGGATAACTCTGGAGTTCTTGGCTACTAGTCATGTGCTCAGTTCAAACCTCTCCTTTTCCTCCTATGGTATGCACAACTCAACAGCAAACTTACCAAATGGGACAATAATGGGACAGGTGATGCTATAGGCCATGATGACGGTGAATACACACAGCATCCAGGCATACATTGCTCCAAACTCATACTCAAATGCTTGTTGCTAGGAAAAAGAAACCCACCACAAAATGTTAGAATTTCAGAGATTGAGTTACATTTACTAAGGCAACAACTCTGCTTATGCCTCATTCCTTCCTCACAACAAGTAGACCAGTTATTTTCCTGAAAAAACAACTTACGGTTCCATGGAACCCTATTACAGATGCACAAGAAGTAGAATATGATGTGCTTTGAACAAAAACATACAGCAAATTGACACTTCCTTTGAGATAATTCCTTCAAAAGCATTCAGGCTATGAATTAGCAAAAGCTAATTCTAACCACAGGTGTAGTGTCCCTTTGCTGCCGAAACTTTGTGCTGTATGGCAGTTCTAGTTGAACCCTAAGGATGTTACAAACACTATAGGACCCGCATTTCTGTGACTGTAAATGTGTACACACATAGGGCCAATCAATGAGCCCTGCCTGACTTTTGTTAATCAGAGAAAGGGTTCAAGATATACATTTTCATTCTCAAACCAGATTTTAAAAACAAACAAACAAACCAACTGTAGGGGCTTAGGTATTACAAAAATAGAAGCTGTTTGTGAAAAAGCAAGATATGGACAGAAAAGAGGGGTGGAAATAATAAACTTCCTGAAGCTCAGAGGCATTCAGAATCTAGATTTGGATCTGCATCCATCTCCAGTTTTAGTGATAATGTTCCACAGATCCCTATACATCCACACTGCACTGGGCAGAGAGGACAACATGAACCTGTAAGTCTGAACAAAATAAAAGTTGAAAAGAATGATCCCAGGTAGCTGTTAACAGCTGCAAAGAATGGAAGTGCACATGGTTTTTTTGTGAAGATTAATCATCTTTTAGGCTTATTAGGCTTTTAACAACCCTGGACTGAAGAGACCCTTCTACCTGTTTAATGTTTTTCCTTTCAACAGCGGACCTGGCCATTATCATGCGTATGGTGTACAGGATGAGACCAGGTAAGCGCAGCAGCTCCATCCCATTGCCAATGAAAGCAGAGGCAATCACATAGTTCACAAAGAAGGCTCCCTGGTCAGGCAGGAACACACATCTGCAAGGAAGCAGAATCAGTGGATGGAATGCAAACAGCCAAGCAGACAGAGGGGGAAAAAAAAAGATGGGCTTATGATAAGAACAGGTTGCATTTAGAAAAATCTGCCTTTTGGAATAAACACTGGACACCTGACCAAAGATGGCTGCAAGATCTTCGGTAGTCTGAACTCAATTACACGAATTTAGTGCTGAATTATCTACGCAATAGCCAGGTTATATTTTGTAAGTGCTATTCCATGGAAATAGGAGCATCTGCAGTTGTACTAAGTCCAGGGAAAAATTAAGAGGGTTTAGGGCTTTTGACCTTTGTACTTTCAGGAATAAGCTGGTTAGAATTAAAAAACAAACAAGCAAGCAAAAAACCCACCGCATGATACTACTATGGATGGCTTGTGTCAGCAGCGGTCCCAGCCTCACAGTGCTTCCAAATACTTGCAGTTCTAGAGAAGGTACTTGTACCAATTCTATGCAACAGCTTCCAACACAATCTCTTGTGTTTCTTTGTGCTTCTGAATTGGTGTTGCTTTGGCCTGCTATTTTGTCCTGTTCTAAGATTGTAAGGTCTTTGGGGCAGGAACCATCTCTTTGTTTTGTATTTATGTACATTATCAAATGCAAAGGGGACCTGGGCTCAGGATGAACCCTCCAAATAATCTCAGAGGAATTCATTTCTCATCATTCATTCTGAATCTCTACACTATAATATAGGGCAGGGCTGTCCAACTGGTGGCCCATGGGGCCACCAGTTGGACATACGGCCTGCAGCCTCCCACTTGGCTGCTTCTTCCTCCACTGCACTTGCTTCTGCAGCAGCCAGCCATAGTCCCTGGGGAAGGCAGACTGGTGGAAAGGGACCCAGTGAAAACACTGCCTCTGTGGTATGTGGATCTCAAGGTATGCGGCTGTGCAGTGTGTGGCCCCCAGCTGCTCAGAGGTTGAACAGCCCAGATACATGGCTTGTGAAGAAGCCCTATGCAAACACACTCATGAAAGCTAGCTGGCAAAATAAAACAACAAGTAATTAATACTTACTCTAATCTGACTGTAGATTCGGCTGATTCTCTGTCAAACAGCCAACGGAAAAAGAAGTCAAGACTGAAAGAAAGATGGTTAACATTACTTACCCTCCACAGTTCAGCAGTTTTTTTTTAAAGCAAAAAAACCCCAAAAGATGTGCACGCAGGAACCCAACTGTTCTAACAAACACAGGTTTTAAATGAGTGACCTGTATTCTGCTCTAACCATTATAGTAGTTACTGAACACTCTGCGGTCAAAAGTGGGAAGCCAGACTTGGAGTCTCATCACACAGAAGTGTTTGATTTCATGCTTATGTTTCAAAGTTTTAGCTTCAGAAGACAGCATCAGGATGGAGACAAGCATACTCTAAGGACAGAGCCATATTATATAATATTCAAACCTCAACACAATCTTTACCTGGTCAACCCAAGAGAAGGCAGAATCAACACCATGAAGATCAAAAAAATGTAGACTTTATGCATTACTATTCTGTTTTCTCCAGACCTACCAAAAAAAAAAAAAAAAAAAGGCTTATTAAGGAAAGACTTTTATTGCTAAACAGAATCCTCTTCTATCTACACTAGTCCTGCCATAAGTACAGCATATATAACATTCTGGAAAACAAACTAATTTATTTTGGGATGCAATATGTTATCCATAAAATAACTAAACAACACTGGAGTCTAGGGAACCCATGCAACAGAGAAGATACCATATTTTCCTCTCATATAGCCCACACCCTTTCCCCCAAAACTAGCTGCAGAAAATTAGGGTTTGCATTATATGCAAGGAAAAAGACTCCCCATGGCTCTGAAATTTTTTATGTTTTTTATGGGCGCGCAGAGAGGAGCAGAACAGTGGCAGCATTAATAGCTGCAGCTCATCAATTGTCACAGCCCCCTACTGGCCCCCTCGCCAAATTTCTGGACAGCCATGTGCCAGACTGGGCCTTACCTCTTGGTGTGCAGGATCAGAACAGTGAGTGGCCCCCAGCCCTGGAGACCCCAGATCTCTGGTACTAACCTGTTTTCTAGGGTAAGATTTATTCTTCTTCTTTGGAACTTTCAAAAACAGGGTGCGTATTATATTCAGGTACATGTTATATGCAAGAAAACATGGTACCCGCAATCACTACTAGCTCCTAGTTCAGCTAGGTGAGATCCACCTCAATATTAAACACATTAAACACATGGAATAAAGTTATTCACCTGAACAGTCTTGTTCAGTGGTGCTCAATCTGTGGCCCATAGGCCAAGTACAGCTGTGAGGCCATGTTATCCTATCTACAAGGCTTCCCACGGGTCTGCAAATTTGGTGGCAGGGGAATGATGGTAGTGTTAATTGCTTCAGCTTCTAGAATCGCAACACTTAAGGCTACCATCATGCTCGCACCACCATTATTTCTAGACCTATGGGGAGCCCTGAAGGCAGGATAAACACAGCTCAGTCTGCTGCACAGGTTTGCTTTGTGGCTGGATCCAATGAACAGGGCTGGAACTGGTGCATGGGCCTGTGAGCATTATGAGCAAATCTAAAACATAAGATTGTTAACACCAACTGGGCTTTGCTGGGCACATGAAGCAGATCAGGAAGTCTGTTGGGCCACAACATGAGTATATCCATTAGAGTTCCATCAAAAGCAAGAACCATGCATATGTCCTTTTACACTTTCAAAAACAGATTTAGAAGGAGAGAGGTGGTGGACCCCACCTTTAAAGTAACTAGCTAGTGGTTAAAACACTTTCCCAGGAAGTGAGAGAACTGGGTTCTATGACCTCCTCACCCCAATGGGGGGCTGAATCCACATCTTCAATCCCTCAAAGAAGCACGAACAACACCTGGTGATAAAATTGGGCTGAGATGGGAAAACTCCACATCTCATTGAAGATGGGCCACTGCTGCCCAGAGTGCAAGATTCAGAGCCAGAGGGAGAATGATGCTGCAGTCAAGTGACAGAGCACTCAAATGGTAGGAAGCAGAGTCCTAGGTCCTGGGTACTGTTCCCAGAACTGTTCATACACTTTATTTTGTTGACCCTCTAATGCCAAATGCAGCAACTGTCCTCATTGTTGCCATGCCTAAGCCCCTTTGAGGATCTGAGCTTGAGTTTCTTTATTTAAAACATTTTTTTGCCTAATGCGGGAGAAAACCCCCTACACCATATAACGATACTATCCTATTGTGTCATCAACTATGAAACAGAGGTAATTCCCTCAAATGCCTAGCAAAGAGGCCTATTAGGCTGCACCACTCAATAAAGTACTTCAAAAAGAAAAATAAGACTAGTCCTTTTTCCTTATCCAGAGGAGAGTAGATCCTCTGGGAATCTATTTTGTATGAGATGCAAGACATCTTCCAGTTTCCCCAATAATTGGCTTTATAGGATAGAACTAAAAGAAGGAAAATGTGTTGCTTACTTTGTCCAGTGGGATTCCAGCAACGTTGAGTAATAGACCATTGTTGGTAGCAGAGCAGAAAAGGACCACAGGAGGACTGTTGGGAAGAACTGACTAACAATTGGATCCTAGCAAATAAAAACATGAAGAACAGGCGGAAAACACTCCAATGCAATTGTGGTAGAAGAATAATAGTGACAGGGATTGACTTTCTTATAGATAACCAAACTGTTAGTCTCAGAACTGGCACAGGACAACAATATTCAAGGCTGAAAATAGGGTTTGAGATTACATACCAAGATAGACTCCAATGCAATCTCAACAGGCCAGATTACAAGCCCTCTCCCTCTTCAAGGGAGTGTAAACACCTGATGACAATGTTAGGTTGACATGGGGAAGCTAGAGGCAAATTCTCACAAAAACAGGTTGTATGAAATTTCAGTGGAAGCTGAACTGGAATTGGATGCTCATACTGGTTTGGGAGCCATCTGGTAGATACAATGTAAGCGTGACCTGCATTTCAGAGTTTAAAATCCGAGTCCTCACTTCCAAAAATACGAAAGGGGCTTAGATCTGAGATTATGTTTCCAGTTCAAATGTAAAAAACATTGTTATACAAGTTTAAAGGTATTACATTTTCATTTTGTATTAAAAAATAAAATTTATGAACATGGAAAGCCTTAAATGAATTGATTTCAGGCCAATATCAATTAAGAAGCAGGACAATACTAAAAGAACAAAAATGTAATGTTTTACATCAGTTTAAGCCTGTGCTGGGCATTTAAACTAGTGAAGAATGAGAATATGGTTGAGTCTGACTAACAGATTGGGCAGGCCTGATTTCTGTAATATTTTCCCACCAGTTTACTAACATTTTGATATGATGCAATAATACTCACATTAAGGTAACGAATAGGTTTAGTGACATTGAACTTGTCCATGGTGGAGATGATTATGGAAGGTGTAGTCAGAAAAAAAAGCACAATAAAAAGGAGCATATTAATACAAAACCATCTCAACCACCATTTTAGCCCATGCACCGAAAAATTCTTCCTGTTAAGAAAAAGGACAAAAAAAAAAGAGAGGTAGTCAGTATCTTGTTGGTGTAGATACATACCATCTGTCAAGTGACAGGTAGATGGTGCTTCTTTTTTAAAACTAGATATTCATAGACATAGGAGCCATAACAAAACCTTCCCAGAAATTAATTAAATGAGTTCCAACTGCCATTAGCCATTAATTAGCAAAATGAAAAGTTAGTGCAACTGTGTTGGAGTAACTCTTAGACTGTTTTTTCTTTTTCTTGCTTATCTCAGGCAATTAGAACCTAATTAAAACCAAAGCTTTCTGCTTAACAATATATTCAGTCTTGTTTAACAGACAAACTCACCCTAGTTTAAGTTATATTAAACTAGGTTTGTCACCACTGAATGTCAGTTCCATAGTGATTCGCAACAGAACGTCCAATTGCAGACAGGGGATATGTTCACATTTGAACTACTGTTAAGCATTCAGTGGGAATCTCAAGAGCAGATACATGGTAAATACAGAGGGCAATGACCAGGTATGTTTTTAAGGTACCTGGGTACTTTCACACTTATACTTAGAGAAAAGAGAATGATAACTGGTAATGACTTTAACGTCTTAACTATTTCTATTCAACAACATGAATTGAAAGAGAGCATAAAGGGGTTTCAGTCTTACTTCATTTCAGTTCTTACCTCTTGTCACGATGGAGACCTTTTGCAGGCTAACCAGTGTTGGCATTTTAAACAAAAGAAAAAGTTGATGTGACATCAGCAAAAAAGTGAAGAGTGTCAAAGCAATAACTGGCAACATGGTAAAGGAATTGAAGTAGGAAAGAAAAATGGTTGTCCCTTGCTTGAACAGTGGGGTAAGCCACACCTTCTCCAATCTAACATACTCCGAAAGACTTTGGGCATCTAATGATCATTTTGTCCACCTTCAACGTAGCCATGGTCTGTTAAACAGCAGTGCTACACAGGAGGTCACAGCAGAAAGTGAATGAAACTAAAAGAGGGATTTTAGGTAGGGAGAACAACTCTGAGAGCTGGACTCTGACAAAACTCATTGCAGTAACAATTCTTAAGACAAGACAGGGGATGTTTAATGACCATAAAGGGCAAAACCTTAACATTGTGTGTTATCTAACAGGGCACCTTTAAGCTTCAAAATGCTTTTAGAGTCCGTCAAATTCTAGTACTTAGATAGAAAT